CATTGAGTTATGTTCGATTCAACTGACACTACTGACAGCATGTACGCCATCATTGGCCAACATAATGTACTAAAATGTTATTTCACAAGTTTGATTGCTGTCAAAATGTCATCATTTGATTGGCTAATACAAATCTTTTCTCGGGCTGATTGGCCTACGGCCCAAGTTCAAATTCTCATAGTCACCTCTGACTATGATCTAACATTTACTTTGCTGATTACTTAACAAAAGACATGTTTAATAATGTTTATAGTAAACTCATAACAATTTGCATAATGAAAACAATATTCTCATTTAAATCTTGTGTTTTTTTGCAGCATTTTTTCATGTTTAGCCCAAAAAACGTTTAGGGTAGGCAATACATTTTAGGCAGGATCTGTTTTTCAAGACCACACAGTTTTATTTGGCTTCATACACACCATGACATTAAGATTCTGATAATACAGAAAGTGGTAGAAAAACAGTACCTTCTCAATAGAGTCGAAAATATCCCGGATGGCTCTGCGAATAACCCCAGGATTCCGCTCAGTCCCCTGCATTGTATAGGTTTTACCGCTAGAAGTTTGTCCATATGCGAAAATAGTTCCTGCAAATCAAACCCAGCATATACATGGTGTTACAAGACAATTGGCAGACCAATACACAAAATTACAAGATCATACCTCCGGCTACTCAAAAGTAGGAAAGTAACTTTCTTCACACATTTATGTGACATTTAAAGTTACAAAGATGAAAAAAATGAAATAAAAATATGGGGGTCATCCAATTTAGTTCTGGAAAAATGCTGTACAAAATGAAGTTGAAATATCACAATTTTGTATGTTTTAGGGCATTTTACCATTGTTTTCTAGATACATCGCAATATATCAAAATTTCGGTCAATGACATACATCTACAGGAGAAATGATATATAGAGTATTTGCTTAAGTCTAGAAAATTTTAGTAGATGATAATGACATTGTAGTCTATGCATATTATTTGTATATTATTATACATCTGTCACTGTAAAGCCATAAATTACAGCGTTCTGTAAAACAGAACGCGGTCGCATTGACCTCCGCTGCATGTCGGTTGATACTCTCACTGTACTGTTACTGTGCATGTTTTGCAGTATCCTCGTAATAACCTCATATTATTAAAAATTCACATAATGTTAACTGACACTAAGCTAATTATTTTTGACACAAAATATAGACAACTGCTATGTTTATAAATATGTACCATTCTACCTCAGAACATTGTCTGCTGACACTGTTTTTCCCCGTTCATTTTTACTATTCGTTGAGAATCTCAACAAGCAATGTGTTAAGGTAGATCAGCAACTCTACTTGTTTAAACTTATGCTTACCGTGGTAGCCATCCATGGCAGATTGTACAATCGGCAAGCCAATTTCACTGTACACATCATTGGTAGTTTCATGCGAGTCAAACACACGATCTGAAAATCAACCATACACAAAAAATAGTACCGTACTGTGGAATACTTTATTTTCGCTGGAACTAATTTTCGCTGAAAAGGCTTTTTGGGCGTTTTGCTTGGAATTTATTTTCACTGATTTTTGATGAGTTCAGTGTGAAATATAGAAAAAAAGTATATTTGCTGGATTTTATTTTCACGGAAACATCCCTTCAGCAAAAATAAAGTATTCTACAGTGCTTAAGATAGTACTGACAAAATTTCTTTCGATGATAAGCTACATTATATTATAGTAAACATGAAAACAAATCTGGTGACCCCTTTTGTTTTCCTGAACTGAAACTGGGCACTGCATATAAGAGGACAAGTATTTTGAACCCAGCGTTAGACAATCTGGTATTGTTTTTTATTTAATTTCACTATTTGGATATTTTGATCATATTTACTAGGTCACAAACTCTACAGCAAACATTGCAATTCAATTTTAATTTCACATGTTTACATACATTTAGCGAAATTAAAACCAAGACAAAAATAATACATTGTACATACTCTACTGTAAGTATCTGAAAGATACGTGTATTGCCATCAAGTTAAAATCAGCTATGCTTGCCTTGAACCTGTTATTCTACTTACCAAAGTAGTATGACTTGGAAACGCTTTTTAGTGTCACAGGGTCAATTTCACAAATTTTAACTTTTTCTTTAACTTGCCAGAATTGTTCCTGTCCTTCTTCCCTGTTAATTAGATATAAAAATTATGAATTGTAAATTGATTACATGAACATTAGAAATGCAGGGATTTTTTTACCATGGGGAGCAGATCCTCTGGCAACCATAAAATTCTGATCGACCAGGGATCACATGTGGCCACTGTCTTCAACTGTGACCTGTCTGATAGTAATTTTTGCCCCAAGGAAGCCATAGAATTCTCCATTTTAACTTAGAATTATTAAAAACTCCACACCCTGGTAGGGAGAACCCTACCTATCAGCCTATATACATTTTATACTATTATCATTGCGAATCATGTAAAAACCCTTCTTTCAAGATCTATTTTAAAAATTGATAATCACCTCTTTCGAAAACAATCATGCAGTTTTCAGCTAAAATCGGTGACATACATCGTG